GGTCATGTTGTGACGGTGTCCCGGTCATGTTGTGATGGTGTCTCGCGCATGTTGCGATGGTGTCCCGGTCATGTTGTGATGGTGTCCCAGTCATGTTGTCGTTCCCGGTCATGTTTTGATTGCGCCCAGTCACGTTGTGATGGTGTCCCGGTCATGTTGTGATGGTGTCCCGGTCGTGTTGCGCTGGTGTCCCGGTTATGTTGTGATGGTGTCCCGGTCATGTTTTGATGATGTCCCGGTCATCATGTGACGGTGTCCCGGTCACGTTGTGATGGTGTCTCTCTCATGTTGTGACGGTTTTTCGGTCATGTTTTGATGGGGTCCAGGTCATGTTCCTGGTCATGTTTTGCCGGTGCGCCGGTTATGTTGTGATGGTATCCCGGTCATGTTTTGATGGTGTCCTGTCCCGGTCATGTTGTGATGTTGTCCCGGTCATCTTGTGATGGTGTCCCGGTAATACGAAAGCCAGCCTTCGTAGAAGGTGCCAGCTGAGTTGCGTTTGGCGATCGAAGTGAGTAAGTAGCGGGTCTGGAGGGGGTGGCCGTAGAAACCCGTACGTACTCGAAGTTAGGTGGTGTTTAGGGTGCACGGAAGCAAGGTTTTGGAGGTTGTTTTGGAGGTGATTTTTTGTGATTTTGGAGCGGGTGGTGATGTAAGAAATGCATTTTTCCCGAAAGCATTGCGAAGGGTTCTTCCGGAAAATCCTTTGAACACTTACACTTCGACACTTACACTTACACACACACACACACACTGGACGAGCGAAAGCATCCAAGTGCGAAGTATGCCAGTGTCAAAGTATGCAAGTGTAAGTATGCAAGCATGATATGCAAGGGTGAGTATGCAAGCACGCAATGAGTATACAAGCATGCAATGAGTAGGCAAGTGTGAGTATGGAAAACTAGCACGGGAGATGTCCTAATGAAAAAACATTTCCCCACTTTATAAATTCTCTCTTAAAGGCGGAGTGCGGGACAAGCAGCGTCAACCGAAAGTGCAACCCTCTGCGGAGATCGTGCGTGTCGAGTGCGCGAAATGCAGGCGAGAGTGCGATTTGTCCGGTGCGCGCGCAACCCTCTGCGGAGATCGTGCGTGTCGAACGCGCGAAATGCAGGCGAGAGTGCGATTTGCCGGGTGTGCGCGCGACCCTCTGCGGAGATCGTGCGTGTCGAGTGCGCGAAATGCAGGCGAGAGTGCGATTTGTCCGGTCCGCGCGCAACCCTCTGCGGAGATCGTGCGTGTCGAGTGCGCGAAATGCAGGCGAGAGTGCGATTTGCCGGCTGCGCGCGCAACCCTCTGCGGAGATCGTGCGTGTCGAGTGCGCGAAATGCACGCGAGAGTGCGATTTGCCGGCTGCCCGCGCAAGCCTCTGCGGAGATCGTGCGTGTCGAGTGCGCGAAATGCAGGCGAGAGTGCGATTTGCCGGCTGCGCGCGCAACCCTCTGCGGAGATCGTGCGTGTCGAGCGCGCGAAATACAGGCGAGAGTGCGATTTGCCGGCTGTGCGCGCAACCCTCTGCGGAGATCGTGCGTGTCGAGCGCGCGAAAGCAATCTGTGGAGCTGGAAGCTGAGAACTGGCGACTTTGTAGTACAACTTTAGTACGCAGAGTAGCTGGGGAGCTGGAAGCTGAGAACTGGCGACTTTCTAGTACAACTTAGTACGCGGAGCAATCTGTGGAGCTGGGAGCTGAGAACTGGCGACTTTGTAGTACAACTTTAGTACGCAGAGCATCTCGAGAGCCGAAAGATGAGCACTGGCGACTTTGTAGTACAACTTTAGTACGCGGAGTAGCTGGGGAGCTGGAAGCTGAGAACTGGCGACTTTCTAGTACAACTTTAGTACGCGGAGCAATCTGTGGAGCTGGAAGCTGAGAACTGGCGACTTTGTAGTACAACTTTAGTACGCGGAGTAGCTGTGGAGCTGGAAGCTGAGAACTGGTGACTTGGTAGTACAACTTTAGTACGCGGAGCAATCTGTGGAGCTGGAAGCTGAGAACTGAGAACTGGCGACTTTGTAGTACAACTTTAGTACGCGGAGTAGCTGGGGAGCTGGAAGATGAGAACTGGCGACTT